ATTGTCTCCACCTTCTGCTGTGGGATATGTGTCTTTATCAGTCATCTGATCCTTGACTAGCAGACTGCAAGGAGAAAGGGACAGTCGAGAGCGTGTGGTCTTTCCTCAACTTGTATCTGTCTCTCACTATCCATCGCTCTCTCTTGCTATGTTACGTCTGACAAGAGCTCTCCTGGGATGCTGCCTGTCCAAAAGGCTTCAGAAAATATAAAGGAATACCTGTGGACATGAATCTGTGTAATATCTGCAGACTGCTGCTGAGGTGTTATAGCATGTGTAGACAGTCATGTCCAAAACTCTGAGAGCACTTTTTTATTATTATTATTTATATATAAGTTTTAATATGTTGATACATTTATAAAAAAAGAGAAGAGTTATGGTGTAAAATAAGAAAGAAATTCCCCAGGTTAAAAATAAGTACTCTAAGTGTATTAAAAATGTACTTGGACTTCTTTGGTAATAAATATATGCTTACTAACATACTAAACAGACTATTTTTACTCTTACCTAGAACTTAACATAAAATGATTCAGCTTTTAGTGGGTTTAAAGTATCTTATTTAATGTATGTCCATATGTAGACCTACTGCAATATATTTTAAATATTTATGTAATGAACATGTGCTTCAGCCTGATTTTCAGTAAGATATCTTGAAAAACATTTTAACAATTTAATTTTAAAGTATATATCAATTCATTTACATATAAAATATGCAAGAGCATTCTTACATTGTACCAATTTATAATGTTTTAGAAACAGAATTTTGTCAACTATGCCTTAGTAATAAGCATACTTAAAATGTTGTTGGGTTTTACTTGTTTACATGTTTGTACTCGTAAAAGAATACTTAAAAAGCTTTTTTGTAATACCATTTTTACTTAGCTTTTAAATACATAATGCATTCATTTTAATAGGCTACTATTTAAAGCTGCAGTCCATAAGTTTTGCCTCTTTGTCTCCATCTCTGTTTGAAAACCTGGAATTGCAGCTGTTTGCGGAATTATCTAGCTTGCGTGTGTTGTGAGTGGGCGCGGATGAATCTAATGTTCTGAAGAGTATTTATGGCAGTCAGTCACCGCACCGGTGTGGATATTTACTGTACCTCGCAATCACAGATTCTAGCCTACGTCTAGGAATATGACCCAAATAAGAATTTTCACCGTATATTGCCATCTGAACAAGTAAGTAACAAGTCTGCCACGTTTGTTCTGACCAACTGAGGAAAAAAGCATTACTATAAATCTCTCTAGCAATGGTGATTAAATCTAAAGATCGGTTAGCTCATATCACATCAAACCGTTCAAATTATTATTATTGTTATACTTTATTCTCAAATGATTAATGTTAACAACATCAGCATTGGTGACTATGAGTAGCGTGTATTAGAGTGTAGATTTCAATTTCTGCACAGTCTAATCTAATTGTCATAATCTTCAAATTTCATATTAAGAAATTATTTTAACCCAAAAAGCAAATTATGCTCCCTTCGAACTGGTTGTCTTTAAAATACAAATCTGGTGTAATCCCAGGCTATCTGTAATCAGAAGCACATTTAAAACTGGAATATTATTTAATTTCATTCACATGTGTTTCATAAACACATAATCCTTTCTGGATTACAATCCGCCATCAAAATTATACATTTAATTATTCCAGCTGCTATGAGAAAAGGCTATAAACGATCCGCCACCTGCAGGACCCTCAAATGCGATAGCCTACTAGCCGGGACAACTTCTTTATGTTTACAGACGTGACGTAATGATGCGGTGCCATGCTCGAATTTCCCTCAAAATCCTACCCGTACCACTCAAATTAGAAAACATTATTATAAGCTAACTGTTGTGAATCAGCCTGAAGTAAGGCGATAGTTTTGAACACTGGCTGATTATGTACATGCTCAAATATTGATTTCGGATCATTTTTAACCAAAACAAGTTACAAGTTAAATTATTTTTCCAAAGTTATGCTTCAAATCTTTATTTATTTACTTGTTTGTGTACTTACATTCAAACAAACTCAAACATGCGTGACAAAATCTGATTACTTTTTGTGATGGTTTTTTGTGGGGGTTTTTTTGGTGACTTTCAGCAGAGGGACATAAATCTGTCAGATTTCATTAAAATATCTGAAGATGGACGAAAGTATTAAAGGGTTTGTAACACTATGAAGGTGAGTATACTTGATGGAAGAATTTAAAATTTTTATTTTTGGGTGAACTAGTAAAAAGTGTTAGTTCACCCAAAAATGAAAATTAGCCTATACTTTACTCACCCTCGAAGCACGGTGTATATGACTTTTTTCTTTCAGATGAATCATATCAGAGTTATATTAAAAATTGTCCTGGCTATTCCAAGTTCTATCATTGCAGTCAGCGGGTGTTGCTGTTAAACTGTCCACAAGTCGTGAAATAAAGCGCACGCATCCATAATAAAACGTGCCTCACATGGCTCCGGGGGGTGAATAAAGGCCTCCTGTAGCGAATCCAAGCGTTTTCATAAGAAAAAATCCATATTTCAAACGTAATAAACACTTTTATCTGCGGTGGATGACGCAGCACGTATGCGCAGCACGCGTGCCTCTGAGATATGCTAGTCTCGCGAGTTTGTTTATAAGTTCGTCAGTAATCACGCAACGCCAACGTCCTACGTCATCTGCCGGAACTGCTTCCGCGTATGAGAGATACCAGAAGTGACAGAAAAGTGTTTATTACGTTTTAAATATGGATATACAGTATTTCTTATGAAAACACATTATTATGGATGTGCACACTTTATTTGACATCTTGTGGACTGTTCAACAGAAACACCCGCTGAGTGCAATGGTAGAGCTTGGAATAGCCAGGACAATGTTTAATATAACTCCAACTGGATTCGTCTGAAAGAAGAAAGTCATATACACCTAGGATGCCTCAAGGGTGAGTAAAACACAGGCTAATTTTCATTTTTGGGTGAACTAACCCTTTAAGTTAAATAGAATATTAAGTGTTATATCTTTTTACCCAGCTTTACTGCAGCACCAGTCAGAGCCAAGCTTTTCAAATGGACTTTGCTGGTAATGGTCCAATCACAGCCATATGCAGTTGAGATGGGAACGTGTTTTCAGCAAAAACCATCCCATTTTCGCTGTATATTCTATATTCTAAAATATATAGTAACTAGTTCAAGAAGTGTACAAGTGTATTTTAAATAAAATGTAAATGTGTATGTGCAATTAAATTAAACTAAATATACTTCATGTGGTTCTATTTTAACACAATTATATATATATATATATATATATATATATATATATATATATATATATATATATATATATATATATATACGTCACCTGTAGGCTCAATGTGATTTGCAGTGAAAGTCCAGTGGATTATTTGTTACAGGTAAAGACTCTGATCTGACATCACCGGCAGCTTTGTTACAGACAAACGGAGCGTCACTGATAGGATTAATTCAGGTTGAGTCATGCTGAGGTTGGTGAGACTGATCCAGTCACAAATGTTTGAGTAATGCTGCCCTACTGTACTGCTGAGTGTCTGTTTTCTTCATCAAAGATTTGACTCTTTTTTTCTTCTTTGCTGTATTCCTCACCTTTGCCCTTCCTCTAATCCTCCATTCCTTCATCCACCCCCTTTTCCCCACTGTCTGTGTGTCTTCATACATTTTTACATGTCTGCTGTCTTTCAGGGAAATTCCCTCTATCTATGACTCTGCCATTCCTCACATTCCTTTCATACCTACAGGGATAAGACGCTGAAATGTGCTGGAGTGCGTGTGTGTATGAAGGGGTTTAATGGAGCGTCTCGAGCAAGAGATAGAGAGGCGCTGAGTGGGTGGTATTAGAGTTTTTAGGATGAGGACGTTGTGCTTTATTGTTCTTTTTGACCGTGGGAGGCTAATTGGCCATGTAAACAGATGTATAAATATAGAACAGTCATTATGACATACAGTACGTTACACTGACAAACACAGAGAGGGAAAGGGAATGAGTAAGATGGAGTGGGATTGTTTCACCTTCGGAATGTGAAACTGACCATTTGTACCGTAAACTCTGACTTCCTGTTACATGAGACCGACCTTTAAGTAATAAGGTTGTTTTTCAAGGCCAGCTGAAATAGTTATTTGTATATTCACTTATTAAGTCCAGAGGGCCCTTTTAAATGGATAGTTCACCCAAACTATTAAATTCTGTTATATATTTATGACCCTCATATCATTCCGAATGCCATGAGAGTTTCATTCTGAACCCAAATTAAGATATTTTTAATAAAACCTGAGAAATTTCTTTCCCCCCATTGAAAGTCCATTTCATCCTCACACATATTTCATCCTCTGTTTACCATTTTCTATGAATGTGCATTGATCAATGTTTATGTATGAATAAAAGCCTAAATTTAGCAAAAGACCCTTCTCAAAACCCGCCCTCCTTCGTTACAGTTGCTATGAGCGAAGAGGAAACTGACAACATGCCATCAGACAAGACAGAGCAGGCTACTTTAAGTATGAAACAAAGTCTCAGCTTTCAAATTTTGTCATTTCTTTATTAAATTCAAACAATAAATAAATGCCATTTTGTGGCTCTTTAATGTGTTGTAACAGATCACTGTAGCGCCTCAGTTCAAGCGGCACGTGAAGCGATTTTCTCTTCCTCTTTACTAGTTATAGCACAAAATAAACATGAATGAACATCAGAAGGTATCTTGTTTCAACCGCAGAAAGCCGTCAATACACACCATTTTTCAAGTTCAAGTCCACCAACGTTAATCTACTCTCCTGACTGATTTGTTTGTCGGACAAAAATAGCAGATTCAGCGCAATGATCGGTCAGATCGCCTGTCAATCAAACTCCCTGCGAAGGGTCAATTATAACTTTTTACGTCAAAAATGATTTACCAAAGCCTGATTTTTTTCTTTTTCTTGTGTGGCAGAATTGGGCTGCCATAATTGTGGAATGAAAGTGGAATTTAATGTCTGAGGGGTTTGTGTGTGCTTGCAGAAAGATCGTGTAGGCAGTGAGCTGAAGGCCATGGTGCAGGTGCCTCCTGGGTATCACCTGGTGGGAGCAGATGTGGACTCTCAAGAGCTGTGGATCGCTGCCATACTGGGCGAAGCACAGTTTGCAGGAATGCATGGTATTCCAGATGCACTTTCCCAGCCATTAGATTCCAAGATGCAAATTCCTAAAAAAAAAAAAATTGACTTCCATTTAGTAGACACTTCTATCCAACGCGACTTACAAATGAGGATGCCAAATCATGTTTCTTATGAGGAGCAAGCTACACCCTTTGGTCATTCATAATTTCTGATTTCCAGGATGCACAGCGTTTGGATGGATGACGCTCCAGGGAAAGAAAAGTCAGGGCACGGATTTGCACAGCCGTACCGCAGATACTGTGGGCATTAGCCGTGAACATGCCAAGGTCTTCAACTATGGCCGGATTTATGGAGCCGGCCAGCCGTTTGCTGAGCGACTGCTAATGCAGTTCAATCACAGACTAAGCCAACAGGAAGCAGCTAGTAAAGCTCGCCAGATGTACGCACTTACCAAAGGACTGCGTAGGTAGGCAAAAAAAAAAGGTTATAATGTTACAAGATATTAAATTGTATTAATTATAATTAAATGATTGTATAAAAATTTGTGCTGTCAAACGATTAATCGCATCCAAAATAAAAGTTTTTGTTTACATATGTATGTTTTCTGTATATTTATTATGTATATATAAATACACACATATACAGTATATATATATTAAAATATATTGTAATTAGCTTAAAATTGATCTTAAGAATATCTTAAAAGACACATACTTAAAGTTGTTCCAAAATAACACATTTAATATACACACAGTATAGTACAATTAAAATATAATCAGTGCATCAATATTAGTACAACTTAAGTATATTTTGTTTTCTTTTTTTTCTTAGCTGGGTCTGAGTTTTTTAAAATAAGTCTCGTTTACAAAAGCTGCATTTATTTGATCAAAACTACAGTAAAAACAGAAATATTGTTAAACATTGTGCAACTTAAAATAATTTATTTCTATTTGGAAATATTTTAAAATGTAATTTATTCCTGTGATGGCAAAGCTAAATTTTCAGCAGCTTTGGTGAATTAAAAAAAGTTAAAAACACAAGAACAGCATTTATCTGAAATTAATATTAGTAACAATGCAAAAGCCATTACTTTCACTTGATCATTTTAATGCATCCTTGCTAAATAAAAGTATTACTTTTTTAGATATAATCTCGTTGACCGCAAATGTTTGAACGATTGTGTGCATCTTTCTGTTTTTTTTTTGTTTATGTCAGAAAGTTAAGCACCAAATTACATTTAATTTAATGTAATTATATTTATAGTGTTATGAATATTTGTGTTGTTATGCAGATAATATAATCTGTAAATATATTAACATTTTATTAAATGTAAGTATGTAATTAGAGAAAAAAAATTTAATTATCCAAAAAAGCATTTTCACTAGTGGGTTTACTGTTTCGGACCTCCACTGTACATAACATATAGACTTGTAGAAACGATTCAATCTGGTGGAGGACCTCAAAAGGATGTTAAAAGGAAAGAGAGCTGTGCTGTGTTGGTTGCGTGTTTGTTTTCTTTCAAGTGTGATTGTTCTCATGTCAGATATGGTATTGTTTCACTCTCAGTCAGAATCAGTGTGGAGGTCTGAGTAGATTTGTTTGAAAGTAATGCTGAGTGAGTTGGGTTTGAATCTTCCTGTGTGTAGGTTTGCACTGACAGTGTGAGGACATGAAAAATACTGTAATAACACCTTGTCATTGTGAACCTAATGATGCATGTCTGTCCCCAGTCCCCAGACTGGCAGGGTGACAGCCTCTCTCTCTTTCCTTCTCTCTCTCTCTCTGTCTTTCTTCCACCACCCACCCCCATGTGTGCGCACACACATACACAATCAGACTCCATTTTGTGACCAAGAGAAATGACACGTTCCCTCATGATGAGAAGTACCCCCATTAAAACACAATTTCTCTGTTCCAAAACCTAGTGTTGCCTCTGTAGACAGCATTAAAGGGCATCATAGGTGCTCCCAACATAAAGATTGTTCCAACAGGTAGTCAGTTAAATTATTCTGCCTTTTAAAGCCACCTTTTTCACTGTCCTCAACAAATGACAGCCCGGATGAGCGATGTGAGGAGTTCTGATCACATGCATATGCAAAATTTCCAGATACGATTTGGGCTTCAAAAGTGCATTAAAATAATTGAACTTTTGTGGCAAGACTGCCTGACTGGATGTGATTCTGATCAAAACTATGAGACTGGTGGAAAACATAGTAAAATTATATTTCTTTCACTAAAGCATACGTTTTGTAAAATGGTTGGTTATGAATTACTTTGTATGAGCTCCTTTGCTATTAATGTTGATTAGGCCTAGTAAACCTACTGTATACGTCTTTCAGTTATACTGGGAGTCATTTGTTTTGTGTAGATATAACCATACACTAGAAATTTCCATGCGATAGCCACTGGGTGGTAAAATGAATATCAGAGATAAAGGTAAGGTGCCTTAAAAGACCTTATTCTGCCAAAGTCTACATCTGAAATGTTGATATTTGCCTCTTCCGTGTAATTAAATTTGCGTTATTATATCCAATGTGTGTAGACACATAGGCAATTGGCCATTGGCTTAGCAAATATATACAATTCTATTATAAGTTAACTCTCCTGCTCTGTGTGTACAGTAAAAAAAAAAGAACCCTTTGATTGAGTCTTGTATTTCTATCATGACAACTCTCGGAGGGACTTGACAATGTTAATGTGTTTGGTCTTGGCGGAATAGATCTGCTATGCTGCTGCTGCGGCAGAGCAAGTACCGAGACTTGCTATTGCCAGTATATCCACAACATGCTGCTGTGAGCATGTAAGAAGTACTGCAGCTGCACATATATAACATATGAAATAATATAATATAACGCATACATGAATCACCCGTAGCAAATCTATACAGGTGGAGCTGGGGAAGGTGGAGGGTTTCTGAAGCAAGCTGCAACTGCTACAGCCAGCACTAGCCAATTATTTGAATGTTGAGCAGCAAGCTCTTTGGCTGCTGATACAAAAAGAACCAACCAGCTTGACAGAACTGTGTATATGTATATACATATACTGCGTATGTTGCTGTCAATTGATACATTGAAGTGTTGTTGGGAAGTCCGTATTTATGAATTGGGAAGTTGTATTTACAACATTTGGCTCATTAAAATCACTTTAGTTGGCACAAGATGTACCTTATCTACAAAAATAAATAAATAAAAAAATAAAATAAAAAATAAAGAATAAAAAAGCAAGGATTTTTAACTTCTACAAAATGATAAAGAAAGAAAGAATTCATGAAGGTGTTGTAAACTAATTTGTGAATTCTTTAATAATTGTACAATACTATGCTAGTTTATGCGCAACTTAGCTAGTATTGATGTAAATGAGGAAAATAACCATTTCAACTACAGACAGTGCATCCATTGTGTCTGCCATGTTTTCTCTAGGCTAAAAGCAAAATCCATAGCTTCCCTCAGAGTTTCAAACAATCTTGACTTGAATGCACTGTATGTAAATTGTTCTGAAACTGTCTTAGAAAGCAGTGGGCAGGGAAGTAGCTCACTAGATTTTGGAAAAAAGCTACTGTAAGGATTGAGGTTGGTGAAGCTCCGCTCAGACCCTGAGGGCTTGTTTAAACAGCAGGGGCTGATAAAGCTCAGATGTGAGTCTGCATCAGAGCTTAGAGTTGCCCAGCCAAGGTACAAATTCCATAGAACACAAGATTTCTATTAATTAAATCGTAATTGGGTTTTATATATTTATTTGCTTCAGACGTTTGGCAGAAGCGAGGAGCGAGATTAGACAGAGATTTACATGTAAAATGTAGGAGATTCATTAGGGTACTTTGGCAAAGATGAAATAATTTGACTGCCTGCAGGGCACACAGATGGCTCTGTATGTTTGCTAATTTGCTCCTCTTTCAAGGTCATTAGTTCTATTTGGTGAACTATCAAAAAGTTTATTTGGGGATGGTAAGATTTATGTACGGCGTAAACAAGAACAGTTCCCTTGTTATGACCGCAGATTTTTCCTGACATACGCAGATAATTGTGTGTGAGTACCTTTCTTTTATACTGTAAGGGGATAATTACCTCTCAGGTTCGCCGTTCAACATTGGATAGAAATGTGTACCAGCTGAGGAAAAATCTGACTTTTCATATAATCAATAATATAATCTTCTTCCCCTTCCAAACCCACCCTCTCTCTCAATATTACACTTCTCCCAGGTGGTCTTGCTAGGAAGCTGAGTCTGTGTCTTTTTTTTTTGTTGCTAAAATAAGGAAAGAAAGAAATTTGCCATTTTCTCCTTCCTCATTTGAAAGGGCTATTTGTTTTTGCTAGGCAGGAAATGAGTTTTGACATAATGGATTTTCGCCATGCATTACATATACTGGGAAAGGGTCGCTCTGAAATAAGGGCTCTCTGCTCTTTGTTTGCTTTAGGGCTTAAGATTGAAGAACTTCTGAATGGGTTTGAAAAATTTCAGTGGCGTTACGTATGAAATTGTTCTTAAGTATGTTGTAAAAACCTATAAATAATCTCATCGCTTTTATACAGCATTGTACAGTTGTGCAGCATGCAAAAAATATTTAATAATTACATTTTGGTGAGCTAATTTGTTCTTTAACCAGATTTTTGTATTGCGAGGCTGTATTTTGTCTTTTCTTTTTTTCTTTTTCTTTCTTTTTTTTAAGTATGGTGTTATGGGTTTTTGTGCTCTTTGAAGTTGAAAAGAGGCCATACAGTTAATCAATTTCCCTGCCTCAAATCTGTTCTCTTAAAATAATGAGGAAAAAGGTTTTATCAATTTAAGTTGATTTCCACTCTGGCCAGTGTTCTCAGTGAAGGACAGGGTGTGAAGCAGTTTCCCATTTACAGTAATTTATTCCCAATTTTTCCAATGGACATACTTCAAAATAGGCCAGTCTTATGCTTCACTGAAGGACTTTTTCTATGAATTTCCCAAGCGACATTCCATAGGTACAGTTACGTGACTGAACCCCTCATTCCTCCCTCGTTCTCTCAGTGTTCGTTCCAGAATGCTTTCTCTGCATTTCTTGCTGTCCTCATTCGATCTTACCAGCACATAATAACTCTGCCAACGCTGAGGAAAGAAATATAATGCCATTCTTACAGTCATATTAAATCTGCCACAGTACAGTAAGGAGGGAAAACAGAATAAAATGTCAGGATTTATATCCTGATTGGGAATATCTTACAGGCAGTGCCTTGCACACAATTAAAGATGTAAAACAAAAGACCGTAAGGACTTCAATACTCATCTTTTTTGTCACAGTTATTGTCACACTTGTATTTTCAGCTGAAAGAATGGTATGCAGTGTGGATATGACTGCTTTTCCTTATAGACCACCCCAGTGCGATCACATCTTTGACAGCTGGCTCTATTAGAGGATTATGAACACGGCTGTGGGCGGCAGAAGGCCATGCTGACAGATCTGTTTGTAAAACCCTATATACAAATGACTCCACAAACTATGAAAACA